ACGGGAAGGCCATGAAGAGGGCGGGTTTTTGAGTCGGTTTCAAATTGAATTTGATTCGAGCATAACGGGTTCAGGAGTGAAAACAGAGGTATTACTACTCTTGCAGCAATCTTCCTATACTGAAGATCTCCAGAAGCTCATGCCCAGTCGGAAGATAAAGAGTACAACAAGGGGCAGGTACTTGTGCTCAGTTGCTGTCATGTCGTATTGAGAACAGGTCTCGAGTGTCAACCTTGAGTCGGATTGCCATCGATGAAGCTGCCAAACCACTGGGTCCCTTTCATAAGCAGCCGTGACCCTCTGTGGGGTTTATTTACTTCATATATGCGACTTTGCCATCACTGTTTGACTCACAGAACTGGGATTCGTCAGAATTTGACAGCCTCCGCTCTCCGGTAGCCCCCGATTTGTGGGGTTTTGACCGACCAGCGGTTGTGAAGCGCTGCAGTTCTCGTTTCGGTGACATCGGAAGCCGGCAGCCTTGAGTTGCCTGGCGGCTCATCAGGCGTGAGTCCTCCATGGCGTCCTGTTCTGACGGGGCTTGCTGTAGCTGCAGGAGCAATCCCAACACGTCATGGTGCCGTTTCCCGGCTGGGCTTGGGTCCTTCCTGCCAGTTGGTAGCAATGCTGACACTTGGGGATGGGATTCAGGCTGGCTGACCTGTGCATTGTCAGCGCACGCCAGCTATAGATTTGCACGTTGGATATGATTATCAGTTGACGCTCGGGGGGTGGATATTGTGGGCTGTGGTGTTTCTACAGCAGTGCCAGAGCCTGTCCTACTGTTGTCCCCAGACAGGAGAATCAGTTTGGGGTTCAAGATATAATTGCTCTTCCAGTGTGGCACTGCACGTGTTTCAGTATTGCGCACATCTTAACTGTACTTGGCAATTAATAGTAATTAATTAATTGCTTACACGAATATAGAGCTTTTCTGGACACTCCACTCAAAGCACTTTACAGGTAATGGGAAATCCCCTCCACCACTGGTGTGCAGCCCCACCTGGATGATGCGCCAGTATGCTCCCCGCACACCAGCTCTCAGTGGGCAGGAGAACAGAGTGATGAAGCCAGTTCAGAGATGGGGATTGTTACGAGGCCATGACTGGTAAGGGCCAATGGGAAATTTGGCCAGGACGCCGGGGTTACACCCCTGCTCTTTTCGAGAAACGCCCTGGGTAGTGCTGTTATATTGTGCTTCAAAAGGAATGTCAGTGTTTTTGAAAGTGCAGATTTCCGATTTTTGGAGAGTGTTGTGGTCAGTTATGTATAATCAGTGACTGTTGCGCAACGGCAAAGTTGCCTTGTTATTCTGAGAGTTGATTGTGCCGAAAGGATCCTTTAGTTGGGTGAAAATCCAGAAAGTAAAATGAAGGAATTATCCTGCAGATCGAGACAACTTTGTGCTATCAGTACATTGGAGGCCGGACAAAGTCGGCGCACAGTCGCTGGCCATCCGTGATGTTACAGCCAAGCGCAGTGCGTCAGTGAGGGCGGACAGTCTCGGCAGCCCCTGAGTCCCAGCACCATGTCAAGATTCACCGGGAGGTCAGACGGGACTTAAACCCTCTCCACTGATCCAGTCCTGGGACCTCTCTTCCTGCCTTCTCTGTGGGTTGATCCTGGCGCTCCCCGACCTGTCAGTGGACAAGCGGTCATCCAGGCTCTGTGACAGAAATTGGCACCGGCAGCTTGAGTTGCAAGACTCGCAGATGTGCGGCTTGTGTTACCTCTCCAGCTGTGGTCCCGTGCTAATGACCTGCGGCTTTCCGAGTGCACATGCTATTGATGAGCCCTGGTGGTGTCAATTAAATACCAGACTGAACTGACCTGGGTCGTCTCTGTGCGGCTGGTAGCGTCGTTTTCCAGGCGGTCTTTGGAATTTGCTGCAGTTGTTTCCGATGCTCAGTGTGTATATATTCCAAGAGACCCGAGAATGCAGTCCGTCTCTTTTAAAGATGTCTGCTTTCTTCTGTGTACAGGCCAGCAAAGCCAAGCCCAGAGCACAGGCCCTGACTACAGCAAGGCATGGGAGGAGTACTACAAGAAACAGAGTAGGTGGCATGAAGAGATTCCACTGTTACTTTTCGGTTATCATGCAAGACCTGAGTAAATATTTATTATAGTGCGGAGAGTAGTACAGATAGTTTGGAAATGAGAGAAGGCAATTCACCCCATCTTGCACATTTGGTAGTGCCTCATCTAAGAATCCCATCCAGCTGTTTTTTTTTTTAAAAGAAGCCATGGTATCGGCTTCAACAACACGGTTTGGCAACTTGTTCCACACCCCCAGGCTTCTGTCTTCTGCTTTGTTTCTGCCTCGAGTCTGAAGAAGTCAGTGGGGTTACCTTCTGTCTTCGAGGAGTTTAACTGGAGTCAAGTCCCCTCGTTGTCTTCTCTGTTGGAAGGCTTTTGTTTTTTTAGCTGTATCGGTATAGGATATTTCTGGGTAATGATGCAGAGTTCTCTGGCCACTATCTTCAGGTCTGTTTCCAGACCAGTAATATCTTAATTTTTTTACGTTTTTTCTTAGTGCATGGTATAATTTTAATATCCTTTCATTTGAAGTCTACACTTTTGTCTTTAATGCCTTCTGGCTTTGTCTGGATCTCCAAGCGATGCTCTTGTGTGGCTTGAGAGTGCGGGGAGCACTTTCTTGAGCACATCGGTAGTGTCACGGCCCCGTCAATCGCAGTGGGTTCTCCAGCCCATTCCTGGTTACAGGGGGTTTTAAATAATGAAGGAATCTGGAATGAAAGGTTTTGTTAATTGTCATTTATAGGCTTTGCTTCAGGTTTTTAAAAGACTACCGTTTCGTTGTTGATGATCATGGTGTGTTTGCATAATTGTTTTAATTCTCTTTTTTTTTTATTATCGGAAGCCATTGTCCAAGCTCATTTCTAAATCGTTCTGTGTTCTCTCTCCTGCACCAGGCCAGGCTGCGGGCCCTGCCTCCCAGCAGAGCTCTCCCCCAGACTACAGTGCTGCCTGGGTGGAGTACTACAGACAGCAGGGGGCGTACTACGGGCAGGGCACACAGCAGACACCGGCGCCAGGCCTTCAGGTACCACACTCCCTCCGTCTCTTGACTCCCGGCGTGCATCTGGGACTTAGTAGTTCATGGAACTAACACTTATTCAATTTATTGTGCATTCCATGTTTAAAGTTTTAAAAGCTGCGCTCACCGGTCACTGAAACATCTCGTTTATGTAATGACTTTGGATATGACATGAGCAGGTTTTCCTGTTCATGTGAAACGGGGTGTAGTTTTGAATACGTTACCTTTGTCCTGCTTTGCTCGGCGTTGGTTTAGCCTGTACTAGTCCAGTGGATCATGGTCTCCTCTTGGTAAAGAGAAATCTCAAACACATGACCTAATTAATGGGTGCAACTGTATACTACCTTATAAAGTGCATTATAAGCATGCAACAACTGCACGTAAATCTGTCACATCTTGTATCTGGTCCAGCACTTCCATTCCTTTTGACAGATAATGATTGAGACTGGGTATTATAAATCCCTAGACGGAAAAATTGCAGGCTACACCATTCCCCATTGTTCAGGCTGCATGTATTTTTTAATCTGCACAGCTGTTCGATTACAGTCATTAATATTTTGACATCCTGTGGGAAGCGAAGTTGGGAGGGAAGTACAAATAAACTTCAAACACTCTTGAATCTTAAGCAAAAGTCGGCAACCTTTTCAGAAATAACATGTTCGCAAAGGTTTTTTTAATTGTAACAAATGCGGACTCCATCTAAACTGACTCAGAATAAATGAGAATTTAATTTCAGTTGCTGCCGTGTCGTATTAATCTTGGAAGGTGGATCTCTGGACAGCATTTATTTTTTGGGCAATTAAATGCATTATCCCAGTACTTTCACAATAGCTTTGTGTTTTTAACACCTGATTTTCTTTTCTTTCCTCATTTTTCCCCACAGGAACATTAGAGTGGATATGCTTTTGTTGAAGATTTTGGAATCAGTATGAAACGAAGAAAAAAACCTTTTCTAACAGAGGTTTCTAGATTTGCAGCGCCTTGAAGACTTTTACTTTTTTTCTTAGTGAGAAACACTAGCTGTAGAATGACTTATACAATTAAATACAAATTTCTAAATCAGGAACATTTAATTTTACTAAAACGGGACATCATTATATTCGAAAAGGACAATTTCTGGGATTCTTTTTGAGCTTAGGAGAGGATTTTTTTCAATTGAAATTGAGACTCTATAAAGTACCCCGAAATTGTAACATTTCAGCAAAACGCAATATAATCTATTTTTTCTAGTTCTGTTGCAATAAAGTAATTACGGGCTTAGCAGTCTTGAGTATAATTTGATTTTGGTGTGGGGGGGGACAAGACATGTTTTAAGAATGTGTAAATTTTTGTGTAGGTTCCTTTTTTACATAAAACATTTTAATTCTGTGAGATGAAACTGTGATATTTTGTTACAGGAAAAAGAATTCTTTTGTTACAAAATACCAGTATTGGTGTTTTACAGATGGCAACCAATTCTTAAGTTAATTCCTTTTATGTGTTCTATTTTCAGTGTCATTTTATTGAGCTCTGGTTTAAAAAGGTGCAATATCTTATTTCACTTTTGAAACAAAGATGATTTCTAATATTTTGACAGACGTTAACTGGTAGTTCTTAGATTCAACTTTGTTTTAGGCAATGGAAAATGTAACCTGAATAACTTTTATAATAATGATCCAATTGTGGGGAACGGGATTGCGTTTATTGTAAGTTTTGCCTTTGATATTGTGTTAAATTTTGTACAGAGATACTTGACGATATACCTTATTTAAAAGCTACAATTAAATCAAGCAGGATTAGTCATTAAAAAGGTCTCATTTTTACAAGAAGGACATTTCCAGTGTTTTTTCTGTGTAACGTAGGGATGGGGGGGTTAATGGGTGGGTCTGTAGAATGTTCAAATATTATGAATGTGCTTGAGCTTCGAAATTTGATGTTGCATCTTGAGGAGGGCAAAAACCGTTTCAGGTTTTCGGTTTGTTCTGTACATTAACCATTCAAGACTGCTAAGCCTCATTTGGAACCTACCTGTGTAATTAATAGTAGTTTTTATATTTTAAGTATTAAAAGAGAAAACGTGTCTGTTATTTGGTACAACCTAACTCCCCAATGCTCCTATCCAGTACACTGTGGACTTCTGTGCAGTCCAATGCTGTTGACTTTTTAATTCATTATTTTTTCTTTCTACTATGTGTGATCTAATATATGTCTGATTTATTAGTTAATATGGATTTAGTATTAACTGCATTGTGATAAATTTAAGTTGCCTAATGAAAAGGGATATTATAATTTCAATTGTTTAATTTTAGCATTTTTTCTCTCATGTGTACAGATAACTGTATTAAAAAGACGAAAAGAGTATTTTTTGCGTTTGTTGACCTGGATTTTTTTTCTTTAACACATTCCAATTTGAAATGTTTCTCTTTTTTTTTTTCAAAATTATCCTTGATGCGTCCATCTTTGGGCTCCTGTGATTGGATTCACTTGGCAGCATGTTGTTGCTATATATATTATATAAATATTTCGTTTTATTTTTACTCACACTTTGCCATTTTACTCTTTACGAATTAAATGTCCACAGGTCTGTCTTGTGGGGAAATGATACAGTTCTTTATTTTTGTAATGTTTTAAAAGGATATATGCCAACTGCTGCAGTCTGACACTTTTTTTTTTCCCCTTGAGTTTTCACTGATGCTGTGTACCCTTGTGAGATTAAAACCAGAATGAATTATGAATTTATTAATCTTTCGGTGATTTTTACTATGTGAAATAGTCCTATGCATATGTATTAATCATGATGATTTTGTATTTAAATGATTACAGTATTCGATTTAATGACAAGTATGACACGAGAGGATATTAAAACTAGTCTATGACATTCCATGGTGTATTACACTGTCCTCTTATTTCATACTTCTTATTAAAACTTGGGAGATGTGTTTTTTGCAGTTATGTGTACTTAAACCACAGAGGGCCCAGGAGCTGTGCTGGGACTTTAGTTCCATTGTTGCATGATTCCTGTGTGAGTGGCAGCCACACACAGAGCTGAAAGCGAGACATCAAGGTTCTCCCCAAAAACACGGATCTGTTGAAGAACACCCATTTGTTCAGTTTACACAGCCTGTGTAGTATCCGTCGGTGCATATATTCACTTATTTGCGATACTGGCTATGTCTCCTATTCACGTAGTTCATTCTTTGCCTGGGAATAAATCAGCTTGCATGGTAATGCAGCTCTGCTCTGCATCCGTTGTATAAAACGGAGGGTTTATCGCATACAGATCATAAGTTTTTCATGGTTCCGTATACAGTTTGTTGGCCAGCTGGAGTAACAGCTTATTGTGTATAATATTTGATTCCATAACGGGCGTTGTGGAGAGCCTGAGGGAAGTGCATACTGACTTCTGACGGCGTTCACACAGAGTGGTACCAGTGAAGGTGTTTTTGCAAATCCCATTGTTCAAATTGAGCCAGAAGAGTGGAAGAGTTTCACATGGAAGGGTAGGGCGGAGGTCTTTCCTTCTAGATCTGAGGAAGATGTGTTTCACCGGGTGTCTGGGAGCTGTTTATACTGGGTGAAGAGCGTTTTGGCTGCCTCTGTGACCCGTACATGGAGAACGGGCTGTTGAAGAGACATTTTTTTTTTTTTAAATAACCGGACCATCTCCCTCTCGCCATCGTAGCAGACTTCCGAGTTCTCCGCCTGCAGACTGTTCCGGCAATTAAAGTTCGGATGACGTTCGCAAAAATGAAAATTGAAGGATGAGAGTCCTAAATGGCTGCTTAAAAAGTTAGCAAGCTGGAGAGAGGGTGGGGGGTGGCGAGCGGAGTGTGTGTGGGAATTGCAGAGTGGCAATATTGCAGTTCCATTGCTCTAATACATCTGCAGAGATCCATGCCAAAACAGCATTTGGCATCAATAGCATTAAGTAATTATTCCATAATGAACTCAAAGGTGTCCCCTAATTGAATACTGAGTGTAGGCAAACGGTGCCAAAAGTCATAAAAGCCACAATATTAGCAGAGGAAACATCCTCTTAAGTGGAATTTTAAATACAGATGAGGCTGCTTTTATATTCCATAGCCTTGATGTCCCTAACCACAGATAAAAGATTCAAGTATTGGGGGTTTTGCTTTTAGTTTTGAGTATGGTTTATATATGTATAAATACTGTTCTGCCCACTCAAGGTCCTGTGCCTCTCGTCAACATACTTATTTTTAATTGCATGCAGCAGGAAGAGCCCCATGAGCCAACAAATGATTCTGAATGTCTGCAAATAAGGCGCAAACAATTTCCAAAGCGATTACCGCATGCTTCAGATGTTTTATACTTGCAAAATTGGCTTTCAGTTTTCAGCCTACCTTAGATTTAGATGTAAAAATATTTTTAAAAATCCTCCTAAGAATTGTTGGCTTTTAATTTTTGCCTTTTTGTCTCGCTTGTGCGCAATGCATCATTTTGCAGCATGCTTGTGTTCATTTCCAGAGCTGTTGTGGCCGTTTCTAATAAAGGGGTTGATAGCAAGGAAATTAGCGTTGCAATCTGGGGACTTTCTGGCTATCCCGTGTCATTGCTGTTGACGTCATGTAAACAGTGAAAATACAGCAAAATAGACCCAAACTGCCAGCTTGTCTTGGGCATAGCCTAAAAGGCTCTTTCTTCCTTTTATATTTGTAAGTTTGTGCACACCATGTATCCCAAGACAATGTTTTACTTTTTCCATCCTGCTCGTTGAAGTGTGTGAGTCCTTCCCACTGAGAGCGCTTGTATTTGGGACCCTTTCCTGCTTTTCTCATCTGTGTGGAGAAGGCAGAACATGTTCGGACTTTTTCGACAATTTTTTACTTCCTGAATATTTTCCTTCTTGCCAGTAACAAGATCCAAACACCTCTAGGAGGAAGACTTTTCAGGAAGCAAGGTGAGACTTTTTTATGGAGAGCTTGTATTTGGAACTGATTGGGGGTGCGTTAAATTGAAACAGCGTGTGGGTTTTATTCATCTTGCAGAGCATTTGTGCTATTCTTTTCCAACCTGACCGGGATGCTCTGCTTCCTGTGTTTTGGGGCTGATTGGCTAATCCCACATTAGGTCCAGGAGAGGAAATCTACATGCAAGGTTTTCTGTGTCCTTCAGCTGTTACTCTTTGGATTGGGAAATACACTAAATCTGCTTGGAGGATAAAACGGGTGTGATCAGCCCAATAATTCAGCAGGAATACCGTCCCAAGAATTAAATCTATTGAAACAACATATTTGAGTCTTAAGTCAAAGTAAATTTGACTTACCCAAGCTTTAAATAACCCATGAAACTGTGGGCCAATCCCTTGGCCACAATGTGAGGGGTCACCTCGGGGGCACTGCTGAGGTGGAGATGTGGTGGAAGAGCGATGAAAAAGATGAATGTGAAGAACAGGCACTTTCATGCAGATCTTTCTTCTATCTTGAGGAATCAGGCAGGAGTGATTTGAAGGGGGACTGCAGTCTTAATGTCTAAGATTGGTTATAAAATGTTGGTTTCATGGACGGTATAGGGGAATAAAACAAATTTTGGATTAAGCCCAATTCGCGAGCTCTGTGAAAGAACTGTGTAGTCGCCAGTTTGCGGGAATGGTGAGGTGATGTGGCCCTTCCTGCTCGCTAGTCACTGAAATCCAACTTAGTTCACTTTATCTGTCGTGTAGACAAGTGCAAAGAAATGCTTCTTTGCATTTATGCTCTGATACGAAGACATTAAGGAGTCAGACCAGCAGTGTGAGCCAGTGGTAGGGGTGGAGTTCAGTAATCGGACAGTTTGTGGGCAGAAACCGTCTCCTAATCTGGAGGTTTGTGCCTTAATGCTCCTGTAACGCTGACCAGAGGGAAGGGGGAGGAAAGTGAGAAACCAGAATTATCCTTGGTAATAGTCCCAGCCTTCCTGAGCCAGCGAGTTGTAAAAACGTCCACAATGCAGTGGACCTGTTCTCCAAAGATGGACTGGGCTCCTCTACGATCCAGTACTGGAGGAGGCGGTTAACAAATTCAGGGATGGATAACTTACCATGAGTTCTGAATGAATCTCACTGGTCTTGAGTATTTCCTGTGAGTCCTGATACTTCATGTGCAAGATGCAAATTCCAGTTCCTCCAATTCTTCTCATTTATATCGGCATTGCAGTTCAGAACAAGTGCACACAACACGTATCATTCCTACAGTAGGCTGAGGAGTCGATTATAAGGTTGCAAAGGAAGAGATCGTTCAGCTCCTGTAACTTTGTTGGCTGGAAATTGATCTGAGGAGCTCTCCTACCTGATTCACGAAAGAGGTTGGAGGGATCAGCAATTCGGCTTGGCGGCCTGTTGCAGACTCCCCCCACCCTTTGTGTAAAGACTGTTTTAAATGCACTTTTCACTGCTGATTCTGAGGAGCATTGTGTTGACTCCGGGAGTGCTTTTGCCTCCAATCAGATATGAATAGGTGAATCGGGTTCCACCATCATCGTTTTTTCTATTCAAGACTAAAAAGATTCAGTTCTTTGAGCCGTGTAGTGTAAGGCATTCCTTTAATCCCATGAATGTACCTTGTTGCCATATATAGTAATGTGCTAAAGATAAATATACAGCATACTAGTACATTCAATAAGATTTAATTTGACCTTATGCACTTTTAACTGCATTGTTTGCTGCCTTTGCTTCTCCACTAGTCTAGAAGATGAAAGTCAACTAAAACACCTGTTTTTAATTACCTAGTTTCTTCAAGCTCCGCGTTTCCCTTCTTATATTTAGCTTGTTTTTTGCACCTGCATGTCACACGCTGCACGTGTCGCCGTTCAATCTCACCAGCCAGGTGTTGGCCCCCCATCTTAAATTCTGATTTCTCAACTTTGTCCTTTGTCACTTCTTTGTGTTTACTAATCCTCCAGCTTCAGTTTCACCTGTGAACTTGGCAGCTAGCGACACCAGAATGCAGATCGCTGAAATAAATTAGGGTGAGCCGTGATAACACTGCAGGTCTTTGTGGTGCTATAATTACATCACCCTTATCTGTGCTCTTTCTTCTCATCATTAAGCATTTTTCAACGAAAAAAATGAAACCCACGGTGTCTTGGTTGCATTTTGTCTGCAGCTAAAGAATCCATCTTTTATGAGGACCTTTATCGAAAGCCGCCTGAAATCTAAATTGAGGATATCATGTGCTCCGTTTGCATTCTGCTGTCGCTTTTTCAAAAAACCTCTAACGTGTTAGTTAAGACCCCCTTTTTCTAAATCCCTATCGCCTGTCCCCCGAAAACTGATTCTCTATGATCATTTCTCTATGGTCAAATGATCATTCCGTGACCTTTACGTGTTGCAGGCCAATATTTGTTCTCTCCAAGTGCTTGCTTCTGTCTCGTACCCTGTCGCCTTGCTCAAGGGTGGGTACAGACATGTTTGCAGGGGGTGGGCATCACTCCTGTCTGGAGCTGACTGGCAGAAGAGTTTTGTTCCGTTTTTATGGCTCCCATTTCTTTTCCGGAGTACAACGGGTAAAACGCGCTCAGGCCCTTGGAGATGGGTCGTGTCGCGAATGTTTCTGGCCCCCAGAACGTCACGCGTTTGCCGGTGCTCTTTAACGAACGACTTTCTTCGCTCGTCCCACGGAGCGGCCGTCGGTTTCCTCCTCCTTTTGGAAAGCGTGCCGTGCCGTGCCGTGCTGTGCTGTGCCTGGGCGCAAGGGCGCGTCGTGGCCGCCCTGCGTGGGTTGTAATGGTGAATTGGCAGGCGATATTGACAAGCCTCCCGATGGGGCAAAGGAACAGGGAGTCCCCTGTGCTGCTGCCTTTATTTTTCTTGCGCTCCTGCTGCCGGTTGCTAGCGCTGGTGGGGGGGGCTGATCTGGTTTTGATTGTGTGCCTGTTGTTGCT